AATTTGGGTCGCTCATCATAAACTGAAAGGGAACCAGCTTCACAACCTGAGACTTATTGTCCAATTCATCATGAGTGTCTACTTGCCAAATTGGTTCAACACCAAGGTCAAGTCATCGTTCTCCGAAGGTCCGAGGCATGTTCTCTTCCAGCTTGAGCTCCTGAGGAGTCAGCCAAGGAAGGTTGTTCAGATTGTGGAGCAGACTGTGAGGAGATCTTCCTGGTATGCTCATCCCGAGGCAGTTCTGCAGACAATGCTCTGCAGTAAGGATGAGGAGAGAAGAGTGGCAGTCAAAAAGATCTTGGATATGAGACTTATGAGAGGATCTGGGCATGACGAATCAGTTGGTGACGATTCCTTCAGGGTCAGGAAGACTCCTGAAGTCAATCTAGGTGCCAAGACCCTCACTGATCTCATAGATCTGGATAACATCCAGGCTGGCAGTGAGCCCCCTCTTACCTGCAGCCTCACCAATGTTCAAGTCAGAGCTTTCCTGGACAACCCCATGTCCCTGCCTGGCCCTCGCACCCAGAGTATAGAGCGTTGTGTACAGCAAGTGAGCGAGGCCAGCAGTCACGTGTACAGCCAGGAGAGGAGGGAAGGCTACATCCAGGCTCAGGTGGTCAGCAGGGAGGTGATGAGTAGAAACAGAAGCAAGAAAGACATGTTCTCTATGGTGTGCAGCAACACCGGGTCGTAGTAGTAAAACCGGTTTTTGTATTTAATGATTTTGTTTTCTAAAGGAATATTAAATTTAATAAATGTGTCAAGATCATTCGTTTCACTATTCTGGATCATTTTCATCCTAATAAATTAACCTGATACATTTACTTTACTTTAAATAAGCTATTTAGTGGTGTTGGTAAAAGGGTGGGAATACTGAATTTTCATAAGATTTCAAGTTAAAATTTACCTAGCAAAAAATAAAAATTTTTCAAATCTGAAGATATCACATGATTCTGCACATAGAACTACATCATTAATACCATGGGCCGATTTTTCAAACTCAAAAAAAAAAAATTCGCCTCCGTATGACACACCCTACCGCGCCATGCTCTCGCCCGGGACGGAAACGTTTCGGTATAGAAAATGCGTGCGTCATTTGAAAATATTTTTGGTTACGACTGCCACGGTCGTATGTCCCGACGGTCGTAAGGTCAGAGTAGTTCGTAAGTACCGATGGACGTAAGTTGAAGCAGTCGTAAGTAGGGGAACACCTGTGCTAAGTTTGTATTGGTACTCACCGATGGGCGGAGGTGGTAGAGCGAATGTGTGGTGGGTAGTGGAGCGAAGGAGGAGGATGGCGGGAGCGGAGGAGGAGGGTGGGAGTGGAGGAAGGTGGGGAGTCACTGAGACTCTGCGGCTGCCTGTGTTCTGTCAATTGTTGCAGATCTTCGTTGGTGAACTCTTCTGTATGGGATGCCAGAACGTCTTCAATATCCTCTGATTCCAGCTCATCAAAGCCTGCCTGTCTGGCCAAGCTGAGGATATCCCTATTTACAGCTGGGACCAAGTCCGTGAATCCCGTAAAACTGTTGACTCGCTCGAGCCACAGTTTACGCCACACACCATTCGGGCAACTTTCTAAAACCTCTTCCCATACCTTGTCAATGTTGTCAATTGCATGAAGAATGTTGAAGCCACGACAATATTCTCGGATCGTTGGTTTATTTTCTCCGTCTGTCGCCTTGAGCAACTGGGCCATTGTACGGCATAAATAATACTCCTTGAATGTGGCGATGAAGCCTTGCTCCATAGGTTGCATCAGTACTGTCGTGTTGGGAGGCAGGAATGCAACTTTTACACTGCCATGCACGTTGTCGAGATTGGGAGGATGAGCTGGAGCATTGTCAAGGATCAGAAGAATTTTGAAGTTAAGGTTCTCCTTGGCACAGTATTCCTTCATTCCTTGCAGGGACGGCGTACACGTTTAACCACTGGCTAAATATGGCGCCGGTTACCCATGCCTTTTTGTTTGCCTTGTAAATGACAGGAAGGTGATCCTTAGAGTAACCTTTCAGGGCCCGTGGGTTGGCAGCGCGAGAAATTAGCATAGGCTTCAGCTTGAAGTCGCCGGCAGCATTCGCGACAAGCAGCAGCGTCAAGCGGTCTCTTGCCGCTTTAAAACCTGGCGCTCTTTTTTCCTCCTTGGAGATATAGGTCCTCTCAGGCATCCTCTTCCAAAAGAGACCAGTCTCGTCCACATTGAAGACATGCTTCGGTGAGTAGCCTCCTTGCTGGATAATCTGTTAGAATTCTGGCGGGAATTTCTAAAATTTCTAATGTGTCATGGAAGCCACACATCCACAACATTGCTAAAGCTGCCTCCCGAAAACTTGGAATGCTCTACAGATGCCGTAGCTAATTCACTTCTGAGCAGTTGCCTCAAGTATTTAAGAGATTCATTCATCCTAACTTGGAGTAATGCTCTCATATCTGGGGTGGCTCTTCTGTCCAACTGTTAGATAGGGTGGAATCAAAGGCATTTTGTCTTATTAATTCTCCTCCTGTGGATGTCGGTCACACTAGAATAACCCGTTATAGTACATCCTCCTTTCCTCATACAGCCAAACTCTGGAATGCTCTGCCTCCTGTGTTTCCATACTCATACAATCTGTCTCACTTAAAAAAAGCTGGTTTTCCGGCATCTTCGTGGTGTAGATTAATATAACCTTCTACTCTTCTATTTAAATTTTTTTTTTTTTTTTATATATACTCTATTTCCCCCCACCCCAGGCCCCACTGTGGGTTGATGACCTGTGCCTGGGTGGGCTATTCCCCATAAAAAACAACAACTTAGATTATTATGGCAATTCACAGTGTAGGAGGGAGGAGGAAGTCTGGGAGGGAGGAAGGAAGGATTCTGGGAAAAGGGAAGGAGTCTGGGAGGAAGGATGGTGTGTGGGAGAGAGGAAGGAAGTAGTGTGGGAGGGAGGGAGGAAGTAGTGTTGGAGGGAGGAAGCGGTGTGAGAGGGAGGAAGGAGTGTGGGAGGGAGGGAACAGTGTGGGACGGAGGAAGGAATATGGAAGGGAAGGAGCTAGTTTAGGAGGGAAGGAGTGTGGGTGGATGTAACCATGCAGTGGGACTGGGAGTGGTAGGGGTCGGTGAAGTAGAGGGAGTACTGGACGTTCCTGGAGATGGGGAGGGCAGCAACCCTCTATCCTCCACTTGCCACTCATCATGGTTATCGTCATTGCTCTCCTCTTGTTCAAACACATAGTACGGGTCATTATCATTATCATCACCTTCAATATCACTATGAATACATGCCTCTGTCAATACCATGTTCATCTTCACCCTTACCAAATAATTCAGAGTAAATCTCATCCTGATTGAGTTGCGTTCACATCCCATGGTGTTTAAGACTACTGCGTAGGTAGTAGGCAGCTGTCAAACAGGAAGCTACTACAGCCTGGAAAGATATTGGAAGCATAATGTGTTGTCTAATGGTAGACCCTCATACTAGTTAGTCATTTCTGCTACAACGTGTGTGTTTTGTCAACACGAATTGGTTGTAATGCGATTGATGAACAGGGGAATGCTGTTTGTAAATTGTGAACTTTTGCATATGAATTGTTGGCTATAACATGATTCCATCCTCAATGTTTTGATTCCATCCTCAATATTTTATGCCTGGCGCGGTGTTATGCAATGTTTACAGTTCACGTTCGACATCACATGTTGAATTGATTCGTGTCTTTTGTTTGTGAAGTGTTTTTTGAGAGGTAGTCTGTAAATTTTGTTCTCTTTTTTTGCAAATTTCGCAGTGAGGACTAATAACGGTTTGCACCAGTGCTCTCTGTTTACATCATGTGATCAGTTGAATCGCACGGTTTCTGTAGATTGCTCCACGATTTTCATTGTTTTCTCCAATTTTGTTGTGTTAGCGATGAATATGGAAAGACAAGGTAAGAAGAATGTTTCCAAGAAGCGTTCTGGTGATCGAATTGCCGGTGGTGAACGTAAAAGAGGTTTACAAGAGCGCAACTATTGTGTTGTAGCCCCCCGCCATCCTAGCGACCTGTCAAGTCAAGATAATGACCTCTACCTCTACTGTGGGTGGTGCTGGTGGGGGTGGGACAGACCCACTTAAGCGGCCAAATAGGGAAGGCCTAAAAACTAGTGAGATAAGAAAGATTACTGGTTTTCCGGAAAGCACCATCAAGTCAATAAAGGCAGAATTTGTATCATTTGGAGGATATAAATGGGAAAATCAGAGGTTGATGTAGAGTGGCCAGTCTTTATTGTAATTTTTCCCATTAGTTTATGTATTTGCATTTGGCGAATTTGAATTTCGCGCAATTTTTCCAGTCTATATTACTCGTGAAATACAAGATCTTAATGTAATTTTTATTTATTTTTTTTAATAATAATAATAATAATAATTATTATTATTATTATTATTATTATTATTATTATTATTATTATTATTATTATTATTATTATTATTATTATTATCATCATCATCATTATTATTATTATTATCATCATCATCATCATCATCATTACATTTTCGTCCCTCAGGCCCCGATGTGGGTCAGTGACCTGTTCTCAGTAGGGCCAATCCCCGTTAAAAAAAAAAAAAAAAAAAAATCTTGAACTTTGACTGTGGAAAGATATGGGAGGGGGGGGGATTCCTCAATGCTGAGTGGCAGGAAACGTTTACACAAGATGCCAGACACCACCAGCCAACAGATTATGGTAGCTAGACTCAGTTTTAATGACACAGGAAAAGTATACTTACAAAACGAATGACCAGAGATAGTTACATCGGTGATCACATATTTGAACATCAATGACCAGTTACGGGTTAAATCATTGTCCATTTTCTGTACAGTACAGTATACCTGTACTGTACAGTATCCTGTTTACAGCATACTGTGAACTTTTATTTTATTTTTTAGAATTTCACTTCTTACTTGAGGTATGTTTTTTTGTTGGAGTATGATTGTGGATTACTAATACAGTAGTGTACTTAATTTCTTAATTGTCTTTCCAGTGCAATGCGGGACCAGTATATGCGAACAGGAGAAGGGTTCCTGCTTGTGTTTGCCGTCAACAATGCAAAATCCTTTGAGGATATAAGTACATATCGTGAGCAGATAAAGAGAGTTAAAGATGCTGAAGTGGTACCCATGGTTTGTAAGTAGGAGATGAACCAGGTGTTTATTCTGCTTTCTGTGAAGTTATTTATAAAGTGTTCACAATTTTTATATGGAAATTATGGTCTTTAACTCATATGTTGAACTTGTTTCTCATTGATGGCTACATGTTTCACTGCTTGTTCAGGCTCCTCCTTTAGCACATTATAACTATAATTTTTTCTTGCTGTTCCTCAACATCTTACATGTGCTGGTTACATTTTGATCAATAAACCTACTACTGTACTGTCTCTTAAGTGATGGTACATTGAAGGAGTGAAGGAGTATTGCTTCAGGCGTGTCTTTGTTTTCCCTATTACAATGCCAATCTTCTTAGTGAATCTTTATACAGTACAATCATGCCGCATCTTATGCGCTTTTAACTTACACGCATTCAACTTTACATGCTTGGCTGAGGGGAAAAAAAGACGGCGACAGTGGGAGCGTATGACTGGGGGAGATACTTCCACCCGTGCCGTTTGTACTGAGCAGGAGAGGGGATTTGTGTTGTGTGCTTCTGCCGACTGATCATTAGGAACAGTTGCTAAGGGTCAGTTGGCAGAGGCAGCATATCCCAGCTGAGCTGTGATACAGTGTGTGGGAGAGTAGAGGATAGGAAAGTGTGGGGAGGGGAGGGAGAAGTGATGGTAGGATTGTGGGAGAAGGGAGAGCATAGGAGTTTAAAAGAAGAGTGTGGGAGAGGGGAGGTCAAGAGTGTGTGGGGTAAAGTGAGAGTAGGAAAGGGTGAAAACATGGGAAAGAGCATGAAGAAACAACAGGGTGGATGGGAGAGCAAGAAAGAGATAGAGGAAGTAGGAAAGAATAGGATAAAGTGAGAGGGTGTGGGAGAGAGAGCCCCGAGGGAGAAGCATCATACACAACCCACATACCTCCTGTGTTTGAATGCCTGAGTCAGGCAGTTTCTTCTTGCTTGCAATCACCTTGTTAGTGCTTTTTTCAGTGACAACGTGTGCTTGTGTTGTGTGTACTTGCTCTGCAGGGGCGGATCCAGGATTCTCAAAGGGTGGGGGGGTCCAAGAAGTTGTGGGTGGGGGAACATAGCGAGTACAGCAAGCCCACCCAGCTGGGGGAAATTATTATTACAGTCGTGCGCCGGTTAACTTCCTAGATAAGTTCTTGGAAACGTGACGTTAACCGAAATGGACGTTGTCCGATCATCACATAAACTTTTTATTTATTCTTACGTGTATATGGAATACTCTTTACGTACATATACACTTTTACTCTTAAATCACTACTGTAATGTGATACAGGTGATTAATTTTTATCTCTTGTGCAAAATACATGACGTTTATATTAAAATTATTCACTGTTTTACAAGGATTCCAGCAACGACGGGCAGATTGGGGAGAGAGAGGGTGGGAGCGAGCGAGGGGGCGTGGGGTGAGGGGAGGTACTACGTTTGACACTTGGCACAGGCCCAGGTCTAACGCTGTATATTTATCAGTTCTTAGGTGACTAAGCTTCTCTCTTATAAAAAGCCAGTGAAATGACCTGGGTGAATATAATTAACATAGCTGGGATTCTTGTAACATACTGATTAATTTGAATATAAACATGCTATAATTTGCACTAGACAAAACAATTTTAGTACCGTAATCAAATTATTACATGTGCACTCCAGCATTGCACTAAGGTCATTTATTTCTATTACATTTCTTTTAGTATGGTGTGTGCATGTAAATTGATGAAAATAAATGAAGAAATCTATGTAAATCTACCCAAAAATATAGTTGAAAAACTTTTTTATAAAATGTACTACAGTACTGTACACTAATGTACAACAATTTTTATCTCTTGAGCAAAATATATGACGTTTATATTCAAATTATTGGCTGTCTTGCAAGGATTCCAGCAATGCAAATTATAATCTCCTAACTTTAGTCTGAGATATTATATAAGATAAAAACTGTAAGCCTAAAAGCCTGGCTGGGGGAAGGGGGGACTGACGGCCCGCCACCCAGCGAGGGGTTGAGGGGGGGGTGTTGAGGTGGTTGAAGGTCTCTGTGTGTTTATTTAACAGTCCTACTAAGCTTCTTTCATTTTAAAATGCCAGTGATATGACCTAGGAGAATATAATTAACATAGCTGGGATCCTTGTAAGATACTGATTTATTTGAATATAAACATGTTGTAATTTGCACTAGACATAACAATTTTAGTACCGTAATCAAATTAGTACATGTGCACTCCAGCTTTGCACTCATTTATTTATTTTATGTTTCTTTTAGTATGGTGTGTGCATGTAAATGGATGAAAATAAATGAAGAAATTTATGTAAATCTACCCAAAAATACAGTTGAAAAACTTTTTATAAAATGTACTACAGTATTGTACACTAATGTACTACATTTTTTATATCTTGAGCAAAATATATGATGCTTATATTCAAATTAATCTCTGTCTTGCAAGGATTTCAGCAATGCAAATTATATTATCTTAACTTTAGTCTGAGATATTATATAAAATAAACATAAAGAAATCACCAGGGTGGGAAGAGGGGGCGGGAGGTGAGGTGACAATGTCTGGCGTTTGTTTGTTTATTTATTTGAGATAAGATTTGACAGTTGGCGCTGAAGGCCTGCCTGCGTGTTTATTTATCATTACTTAAGAGTGACTAAGCTCGTCTCATAATTTTCCACCCAAACGACCTGGGTGAATATAACTTACATTGGAGGGATTCTTGTAAGATAGTAATTTATTTGAATATTTTTTTTTCAATTTAAATTTTAATTGTTTATTCCTTGATAGAGGAAGTGGGATCCTAGTGCTGTCACTTGGTACCCCTGTACCATAACACCAGAAGCAACTGGCCAGTGTCACAGGTATATACAGTACAGTACAGTCATCCCTTGGTTATCGCGCCTAATTGGGACCCCGCCGATAACGAAAGTACAGAACCTATGGGCTTTATTTTAATTGGTTCATTTACCCAAGACCCAACCCCAAGTTTCCCATTTTACCACCATTTAGACCCACTAAATATATATATAATGTTATGGTAAATATCATAAACACACATAGGCATGGCTAGGTTTATTACAAAGTGATGAAAAGGGTACACTTAATACTGTAGTCCACAAAACATGTAGCTATGCTTTTTTAATTTGGTCCCCTGTCATACGAGTCCGTTTTCTCTCACATCAGGACGCCTGAGTCTTCCGTCTTCTCTCTTAATCTTAGAGTGCACCAGAAACTTTACTATTTTTAGTAATGCCACAGAATTAGAAATTGCAACCCCAATTGCAACTGGGGTTGCAATTGTTGAGGCAACTAGATATGTCTGATTACAGCAAATGTGTTATTGTCAATTTGTAGGTGAAAGATTTTATCCTCAATAGATGTAGGTTAACATTTCACCTGTAAGCAAATGCTTATAAAAAGCCTAAGTAAGTTAGCATATTCCTTTAACACATAATATCTGACCAGTATGGGGAGGATCATTGTGTCTCCGTCAGGGGGTTGTGGAGTGGTGGTCCAGCAGGTGTCACGTTTTTTTTGGGGGCAACGATATGCGATCGGGCGTTGTTCTGTCGGACGTTAACTGGCGATGACTGTATTTATTTTGGGGGTAATCCTGCCCAGGAAATTTGTTTAAATCTGACCAATATCATGGGCATTTTTGAAGCCATGTGCACTTGATTTTAGGAGATATTCTGAGGTCAATAGTAATGACTTTACTATACAAAAACACCTGAGTACAATACTGCATTAAATAAATAGTATTGGAATTTTCTGATGAAATGGGGGTCCGAACCCCTAGGACCCCCCCCACCCCTGGATTTGTCCCTGGTTTGTGTGCATGTGTGCAGGGGTGTTAGAGAGAGAATGCATCTGTGCATGTGTGTGTGTATGTGCGTGCGTGCTTGCGTGCGTGCGTGCGTGCTTGCGTGCGTGCGTGCGTGCGTGTCCTGAGCTCGCACTATCTTTTATAAATTTTGCTGTTTTTATGCTTTCATTATTTTTCCTAAATATTTTCTGCTGAAATCAACTTGACAATAATTGACAGAGGATAAAGTTAACTTACAGCAGAGGTGGTTGTGTGGTGCACATTTAAACTGAAATAGGCCTCACCAGTCAAGTTGCTACACAAAATACACACCCATGCTCTTGCTCTTCATTTCTTATTTTAAAGTTTTATATTATATTTTCTTTATATCTAAGTCACATTAGAGTATTGAAATGATTTTCCACAACTTTTGTAGTTTCATTATATGTAACAGTGGCAACATGCATTACCATCTCCCTCCCTCCCTCCCTCCTTCCCTCCTTCCCTCCTTCCCTCCGTAAGGCGGGACATTTAAATTACCATTGTATGGTAATTTAGCACTAAGCGTCTGGATCCTCCAGATGCTTAGTGTTAAAAGCTCTTCTGGAGGCTTGCTGCCTTCGTCATTTTGGTGTGATGTGAAGTGAGAGCTTGGCTCTGACGAGTCGATGATCAGTGTCGCAGCGGTCTGAGCCACACAGGGCTCAAGTGATGACATCTTGGCGATCTCTTTCTCTGACAATGATGTAGTCAATGAGATGCCAGTGCTTGGATCGTGGGTGTTGCCACGAACCCTTGAACTTGCCGCCTAAACATGGTATTGGTGATAGTGAGGTTGTGTGCAGCACACTTGCTGAGGAGGAGTAGGCCATTGGCATTACACTTGCCTAGTCCATTTCACCCTGTGGTTCCCTGCCAAATGTTAGCATCTCTGCCAATTCTGGCATTGAAGTTGCCAAGGAGCACAACCTGTCTTCTCTGGGGATAGAGGTTAGCACTGTTGTGGTCGGTGTAAAAGGCCTCCTTGATGTCATCCTCTGCATCCAGTGTTGGGGCGTATGCACTGATGAAAAAGACATGATTTGAGTGATTCAGTGGGACTCGGAGCGTCACGAGGTGCTCGTTGATCCCAATAGGCGTTTTCAGTTAGCCTGTATAGGATGCGTTGGCGGATGGCAAAGCCAACTCCATAAATGCGGTTTCTCTCTGCA